CCATAAAATGACCACGGTAGGGGGTGGTTCTGAAGCCAGACCTCATTGATTCACATCCCTGCTCCTTCCTGGCTGTGTGACCTGCTTTGTACAAACAGCTACTCTGTTTCTTTACCAGGAGCACAGGGCTACAGTACCTACCTCATAGATATTTTGTATTACCGGAGAAAACACAGGGTGATCAAGACATTGAACATTACCTGGTACCATCACAAATGCTCCACCAGGGTGAGCACTTATTATATCAATTCATGCATTCATGCGCTTCACTATGGAAACCTCAGGACACCCTCCAATAGCTGGGAGCATGGTATTGGGGATCAGGGCCAGGCAGGGAGATAGGTCGCTTGTAGCTGTGCACCTAGAAGAGGGGGGAGCTAAAAATAGGCCTAGGAAGTCCCGAAGCTACAGCGGTATCAACACCACTGTGGATTTGAGCAGACATCGGCTTATGGAGTGTTTTCTCTAGGGATTCGGCTCTGTAACCTTGTCATAAACCTTCAGGTGGGATGTCAGCGCTCAACAGGGGAGAGGATCACAGTCTCTCTCTCTCTGGAACTGCAGCAAAAAAGGGCCAAAGAGGAGCCAGGACTTTCAGGGCCCACATCCTGCGGCCCGGCCTAAATGCTGGCAGACTAGGTGCTACTCTCAGGTCGCCACGAAGGATCTGGGGAACTGGCGGGAACTGGGGGCCGAGTTCGGGGCGGGAGGTGCAAAGAGACCGGGCGTCCTCTGTCCTCTGAATGGGGAAGGCCCGCGGAGGATGAGAACCCCACGGGATTGGTGGGTGGGCCGGTCAGACAGCGAGGCCCGGGATGGGGGTGGGAGGGAGGCCGGGTGCCGGAGAATGAGGGGGCGGGGAGGGAGTGTGGCGCGCTGGAACCACCACCAGGCCCAGAGATCTATGTACAACCGAGGCCAAGGCGATGAGGCCGCGCCTCCCGTGCCTATCAGCCCTCGGCCGGGTCCGCGAGGCGGAAGGGCGTCAGGGCCGCGGCCCCCGCGGCCTTCCCGACCCACTATCTGGAGGACGGCAGAGTCGGGGCTGCCGGGAGTGATGGGCCGAGCCGGTGAGCCCGGCCTGAGGGGACGCGATGGGGGACGGCTGCGGGACCCACTGCGCCACTATCTGGAAGCAGACAGGCCCCCCGCACTCCGGGGTGCTCACCCCTCGGGCTTGTGGCCTTTGGACCTTCCCCCGCCCGTTCGCTGGCCGCCAGCTGGACCTCGACGGCGCCTCCCCTACCTTCGTTCGCCAGGTCCGCCATTTTACTTCCTCAAGCCCTCCCACAAGGCTCCGCGCTGGCCGCCGCTCGCCTGCTTTCTGCCAGAAACTCTCGCGCGTGCGCACTTCCCAAGCCGACTCCGAGAGAGGAGGGCAGCTCGCGCCTGCGCGCCGAGCCCGGCGCGGAGTCGAGCTCTGTATTGCTGTCACCGGCAGGCCCCGTTCGAAGCACTCGCCTGCGCACTAACCGCCCCCGCCTCCTTTTCCCGCCGATCGAGGGGGCGTGGTCAGGGCAGGGCGCATGCGCAGTGCCCCACGCGAGCATCCCGGGCAAGGGGGAATACACACGTTCAGTAAGGGAGCGCGGCTGGCGCTGGGTCTAGTCGCCCCAGTTTACTGCTTGTTTTCCGGGGATCCCAGTGGTGGGAGAGTGAGCCATCCAAAGCGCCGCGATGGAAACCTTCTAGGTAAATCCTGGGGAGTCTGCGGACCGTGGCAGGGGGGCTTTCCACACGCACAGGTCAGAGGCCAGAGGGGGTGGCCTGCTAGGGGTTTTTGGCTGTCACATCAGGCTTCAGTTTCCCCTGCTAAGGGGCAAGTACATTGGGCAAATGCTTTCTTGGGGACGTGGGGAGTGGTTGGGGCGAGCAAGCAGAAATCAGAGGTTAAACATAACTGGCCAAAGGTGGGGGTGTCCGTGGGGGACACAGGTGTTGGCTGGGGGACCCAGCGCAAGGGACTTGATCTCTCTAGGACAATAGAATGGGAGCTCCAGGATAGCCATACCCGATGTCATGAATGGAACAGCGCCCTGGCACAGACCGGGCCTGGAGTTTCATCTGTAAATGGGCTGATCAACCCCACAGGCTGACATAAGAATCTAGAATGGGACTCATTCTAGATTCACCTGCTATGAATCTCTCAGAACACCCTGTGGGTTCTGCCTCACCAAAGCCTAGCCCAAACCCACCTGTTCTCATCAGCTTGGCTGTCAGCACCCCAGGCCAGACCATCCTCCTCTTTCTCCTGGAAGACTAGACAGCGTCCTCTCTCTTTGCTCTCCTTCCTTTCATTCTTCTGGAGCTCCAGGCTCTGTTCTGCACGCAGGGATCTTTTAAAAATATAAATTGGATCAAGGGCACATCTTTCCTTAATGTTTCCAAAGGGCTTTTGCTGAACTTGGAATCGACTCTAAACCTCTTATTCAGACTTACACAGGCCCCTGTGCTTTGCTCCCAGGCTCCCCCTTACTTATTGCAGTTCAGCCACAGGGGTCTTTCCATCCTTGGAGCACACTAGACTCCTTTCAGCCTCAGTATCTTTGCATTTGTTGATCCCTCTTCTTGGGACTTTGTGTCCTATGGCTTATTTAGGTTTAAATCCCAGTTTCGCTCCTTCTCCAGGGGGATCTAAAGGAGGAGGTCTCTAGCTTGTGAGCTAAGAATGGTGTTACATTTTTAATTGTTGGAAAAAGCCAGAAGAGGAGTAATATCTTAGAACATGTGAAAATTGTACGGAATTTAAATTGGAGTGTCCATAAACAGTTTTATTTGAAAATAGCAATATCCTCCTATATAATAAAAGCCTAATATGCAAATTGTCCTCTTGGGCGGGAGTTCGACTGGGAGACTGGGAATTTGATCGCTCTCTATGACATGCGCTGACCACCAGGGGGCGGCATGGAACGAAGGAAGGCCCCAGTTGGCAACCAGCATCTGAGGAAGGGAGGCCCTGGCCAGCAGCCGGAAGGCTCCAATCGGCCCTGATTGACAGCCAGGCCTAGGGACCCTACCTGTGCATGACTGGGCCTCTAGTATTCATTATATGTCATTACATATAATCCCTTCTTGGCCTTTGCCATATCTCTGAACCCTGTGACCTTTAATGAATTCTTTCCCTGCCTGTTTATTGGTTTAAAGTTATGTTAAATAGATACTGTATATCATTTAAAATAGAAAACTACCAGCCATGAATAGGAGGTGATTGTAAAAATAAACAGGGCCCTGGCTGGTGTGGCTCGGTTGAGTGCTGTCCCATGCATGGAAAGGTCACAGGTTGGATTCCCAGTCAGGGCAAATGCCCTGGTTGTGGGCTTGATCCCCAGTAGGGGGCTTGCAGGAGGCGGCAGATAGATGTTCCCCCCTCTCCCTTCCCCTCTCTCTTTAAAAAAAAATCAATAAAAACATTTAAAAAATATTAAAAAAAATAAACAGGAAAAATGAGGTTTTAAAATTTTGGGTGGCTACTGTTGCCTGCCAAGGTGCTGAGCCTGCCTTTTCTAAAGAGATTAGCAAAGTATTAGAGGGTGATTAAAGGCATATTATCACTTACCTGAACTTTCTCCTTGACATGATGAGAAGGCGTGACAGATAATTGAAAATGGGATAACTATAATCCATGTGATTTGGTGTCATTTAATGCCATGTCTACATGTCTCCTAAAGTCATTTCATACTCTACATTCATCCCACACTTTGGGAAACTCCCAGAAACACGCCATTACTTGGTAAATATAATCCAGTTGTGGTTTTCCAAGGCACACTGAGAGATGCTAAACCTATCAGCCTGATAGGCCGACTGAATTTCCACTGGTTACACAATTTTCATCACAGTGCCCGTGGCTGCCAACATCATGCCCTGCAGGCTTTCTTTTGATATCTTTATTTGGTCTCCTCTAAGAAATTAACTTGGTCAATATTTATTTATTAAACACATATTTGTTCATCACCTACTCTGGTGGTTTTAAAATATGGCCCCAAATTATTTGACCTTCTTCCCATCAAGAGCGAAGTCTCTGTCCCCTTCCCTTTCATGGGGATGAGCTTGTTGCTGGTCCATCAACAGAGTATAGTAGAAATGACACCAGGGAACTTACAAGGCTAGGTCATGACAGAGTGAGGGGAGGTAACTTCCGCCTGCTTTGCTGGAACACTTGCTCTTAAAAGTCTTTAGCCATCATGTAAGCAGCCCAACTGCCCTGAGGCAGCCATGCTGTAAGGAAGCTGAAACTCAGAGACCACAAACCCCCTGAGAGAGAACTGCCCCGCCTATGCCTTGCTGTTTCTCACCTTCAGAAACCATGGAAGATAAATTAAATGATGGTTGCTGTTATAAGCCACTGAATTTGGGGGGTATTTGTTATGCAGCAATATATATCCGCCAGACCTACTATGCATCAGACACTGCTTTACATGTTGGGGTCCAAGATGAACAAGACAGACCTTGCCTTCCCGGAACTTTGCATTCTTCGGTGGGGAGACTGACAATAGGCAGGCAAGCAAAATCATTTGAGATAGTGACTAGTGCTACAAAGAAAATAAAATAGCAAATTGTGACAGAGTGACAGAAGGGATACTTTAGATTGGTTGGTCAGGGAAGTCGCCTCTGAGGGGTGACATTTTAGTAGAAGGTCTGTAGGAGAAGCATTCTAGACAGAACAGTGAGTGCAAAGGTCTGAGGCAGGAACCAGGTTGGTGAGCTGGAGGAGCAGTGAGGAGCTGTGTGGCCAGGACAGAGTGAGGAAATGCGGTTAGGGAGGGGCGCGAGCGAGAAATTTGGAGTTTTTCCTAATACAAGGCTTGGAAGTGGGAAGTGGAGGGATCCAAATTGTTTACCTTGAACTGCTGATCAGCCTCTCTGCTGCCTGCTTCCTCCTTAGCTCAGCCCGGCTGAGCTCTGAGAACTGTGAACTTCCTTATCCACAGCTAAGATGGAAAATGGCTTTTATAGTTGGGCTCCAGGTAAAAGCCTTCACAACTGTAATTCAGTTCTTGTTTTCCCATCGTGGGCAGGGAGCCAGCCATGTCGTGGGCAGGGAGCCAGCCATGTGAAAAAGTATCTGCCTTGTGCCCAGCCTCACAGATGAATCAGATACAGTTCCCTCCGTCAGGGAGCTCAGAGTCAGGTGGGGACAGAGGGGAGGCATCGGGTTGCCGCTCCGGCTCAGCACCGTTCCCTGTCTTCCCTCAGTCTGTGAGTTTCTCACAGTAGGATGGCCAATGTGGCTGCCACTGACACAGAGGGCAACCCCTGACCTAAGCTGGGGGCAGCAGTTAAATATGGTATGGAAATACGTATCTTACTCTATTTTATTTGTAATTAAAATATTTTTTAACTTTTGTCCTAGCGGTGTGGCTCAGTTGGTTGGACGTTGTCCTGTGTACCAAAAGGTTGCCTGTTCTATTCCCAGTTAGGGCACATGCCCGGGATGGGAGCTTGAGATCCTTGTAGGGAGCGTGCAGGAGGCAGCTGATGGATGTTCCGCTCTTCCATCGATGTTTCTCTTTCTCTTTCCCTCTCCCTTCTTTCTCTAAAAATCAATAAAAATATTATTTAAAAGCTTTCACTTTCAAATTAAATTCACTTACCAAAAATGCAGAAATAATACCAAGACATTACACATAGCTTCACCCAGATTCCTGAATATTCACATCTTAGGTAAGTGAAATGACCCAAACCAGGAAGTTAACACTGATGCAGTAGTGTTCACTAATGTACAAACCTTAGTCATATTTCATCACTAACATTTATTTTCTGTTCCAGGATCCAGTCCAATATCCCTCCATAAACGACACCCATTTAGATGTTGTTTCTCCATAGTCCTTCAGTAGGGATCAATTCCTCAGCCTTATTTTTCCTTAACCATGACACTGATACAAGTACTGCCCTATTTTTTGTAGAATGGCCTTAATTTTTGTTTTTTAATGTTTCCCAGTGATTAAATTCTGGTGATGTATTTTGGGCATGAATAATGTGGGAGTGACGTGTTCTCAGGGTGTCCTGTTAGGAGGCACTTGATGTAGATTTGTGTCCTCACTGATGATAACTTAGATCAATAGGTCTAGATGGTATCTGCTAGGTTAATACTTTTCCCCTTGTAATTATTTAATATCTAGCAGGGATATAAATAAATAGGGAATATTTGAGGAAAAGGAGAGGCAGAGGGAGGAAAGAGCTTGTGGTCTTTCTAGGCAGTATTGCAATTTAGTAAACAAAGCCCCCATTCTAGGCAAAATCTGAGCTCGCAGTGTCTGTGGACCAAAAGGAAAAGGCTGTGTCTCACAATGACCACTGGGTGGTGGCAGAAGATTGGGATTAATTAAAAATGGCTCCAGGAGAAAAGCAATTCATTCCTTTTTTATTTCATTTTATCGTATTTTTAAAGTATATTTTTATTGATTTCAGAGAGGAAGTGAGAGGGAGAGAGAGAGATTGAAACAT